ACATTCATCATCCGTTGGCATGTTATCAGTTTTCTTAGTCGGACGCTCTGTGGGTGCTTTGACGTCCTTGCTAGATGGATTTGGTTGTTTCGTTTTGTCAGTTGAACCGCTTGACATGATTGTATTTGAATTTGCAGTGATTGATCTCAGGTGTAAAGGGAGGGGGTTTCTCACTGTCCTTATATATTTTACTAAAGATGTGCAAACGTGGAAGAGTCTGCGAAGTATTATCGCTGTCATGCTACTAGCTATAGAACGAAAGTCGAAGTTATCAGAATTGTCATGCAATGTTGAGTTGCCTGTGTGTGCACCTTACAGATGGATCAAATAATTGTTCTGAGTAGGTATAGTAACAGATGGATTTCGTCTTATATGCAAAGCTGATATCACTTCTGATATCGGAGATTTGTCAGGAAGTTGTGATGGAGGGCCAGTTAGATCAGTAGCAACATTTCACTAGTTTGACTGTTATAGCATTATGGATTTATGTCACAATTACTTGCATGAACGGAAAGTATGGGTGTAGGCTGAGTGGATTTCATAGTAGATGGTAGAGATAGTGTAGCTAATAAGCTAGAGCTTGACATGTATGTGACGCCAGGTTAGCTTTCATATTTCTCATACACTAGTTTTATTTGTATGTATGCTAAATTTCAAGTAGCTAATCTAATCCTTCATTTGTCCTCATTTGTAGAGCTTCTTCCCTTCTCGCCACACCTTTGAAGCACGTCTAAGGCGTTGACTGCGTCTCTAACATCTCCAGGGCTCCCGTATGGAAAGTCGAAGTTTTGTGCGTAACCTATCGAAGCTCTCTTTAAATCGCGGCGTGCTTTGCTACATTGTTCATCTGTTGGTCCAGTATCGGTTCCTTGAGTTGGACGTTCGTTGACGTCTTTGCCGGACGATTCTTGCCTCTTGTCAGTTGAATGGCTTGACATGATTGTAAGTAGACTCGGGGGATTGAAACCAGGTGTAGGAGACTTCATATTGTCCCTTATATCTTACTTATGATGAGCAAAGGTGGAAGAGCCTACAAAGTCTTATCAGCGATAGGACAAGGCAAAGTTTTAACCCCAGTGAAACTATGCTGGAAACCGCACTTACTATGTTCATTGGCATATGTGCCTGGTAACGGGTGGGTTTGAATTGTGCACAAAGTTCGTGTCGCGCCGAGATTAGGGTGTTCTGATCGAGGATTAGTACTTGACCAGTAGCAAAATTACACTAGGTTCTCAAGCATTACTCTGCGGCCCCAAATATTCACATGGCCTAAGAGAACAAGAGTGCACTGAGTGGATTTCATAGCCGTTAGAAGCAAAGATAATGTTTAGTAAGCAACTGCACGCGCAGGAGGCTTTACCTTCCAATTTCCAGTACTCCTGGGTAAATGCTCTGCCTTTCCGCAAATTTCGAATTTTTCTCCAATGCAAAAATGCTGAGAAGTTTCACGTTCTACTGGGGACAGTTCTACTCTTCTGCTAGACAGCCTTTCGGCGCAAGATTATCGCTATGACAAGGAAGAATGTAAAGGAAACAGTCGTTTTTCTGAGTCCAACTTCTTCACAACAAAATGGAATAGCGTTTCTTGATAACCCGCACGTGACCGAGTGTTTGACGGTGTTGCTGTCTCATCAAAATCGAAATATTGACGGTCAAGTCAGAAGTACGTGACGGACTCAATCCGTCATAATCTTTGCCAAACACCATGCACGCGATTTCTAATCTCACTCTTCTTCAACTATGTGAATAGCAGCTCGCAGTTGTCTAATCACGACGGATGGAGATATAACAGGAACAGCGAGCTTCAACATTTCGCCTCGCACCCATTTTGCTGACAGCTCTGTGCCGAAATGATTAACTTGCATTCTTCATAACGTCTTTCGTCACTGCATTTATTCACATATTTACAATCTGCAGGTGGGTATATACGTATCTGAATACCAGTAACAAAATATTACTATTAACATTACGTGACGGAACGTGGCAGGTATGATGCTTAACGAGCGGAATTGGGTATCACCCAAAATTAATTTAGTCCGAACAACGTCCAAACCTGGAAAGGAAGAAATGGGGGAGAAATAGGGCAATACTACACGTATCCGGCGCAGATGTCAGGATATTTCCTATCCGTTACGTCCTGAGAAATCCATCCGTATTCAATGCCTTTGCTGTATGACCACTCCTCACCAGTCCCCTCCTCAGTCTTCCAGGTCCATTGGAACCATCCGTATGAGGTCTCATACGCTTTCGCCTGTGCCTCCCAATATTTGCGCAAGAAAGTCTTGTAGTCATCGCTGAAGTATTTCGCCGAGCCGCTCTTGCCGAGGCAGAGTCCAACAAACGTGCTGTCTGGGTAGGTACCGTCGTAACGTGCACCTTGTAAATCTTGACGGCGTCCGTTGAGGTAGCGAGCACAGTCTGTACTAGCAGGAGACCATTCGCCAACGATAATGGGGAGAGCGAATTGCTTGATTGCGTTGCTAAAGTTGCAAGCCGTCTTGATGTGGTCATCCTCGCTCAATGCGACGCCATCTGTCGAAAAGATTTGGTATTGATGCGTGTCCATCACTACATTTGAATACTTGGGTGGAGTCATGAAGTCGCCCCAGTACGAGGAGTTCATGAAAGCGTCATGAATAAGAACGATACGATCAGATGGGCCCTTCTGCGGATGACGGATGGTATCGTATGAGGAAAGCCAATAATTCCTTGTGACGTCGAGCAGCTGAGTGCCATTGAAACCAGCAGGTCTGCCAAAGTCAACGGCATATTCAAGTGCAGAGGTAAAGAGGGATACGTACTCGTTCAGTGGAGCAATAATATTGGCTACATCCGCTTGTGGTGCGAAGATGTCTGAGATGGTCTTCAATACAGCGTTGGTGCGATCGATATTCTGCTGCTCCAGCTGCCATGTTGGGAAATCCAATTTTCGACCCGAGTTATCGAAGCTACGAAGCAAATCTGGCGTCATTACCTGTTATCTGGGCGCAGAATGAGCGCAGCGAATGCAACATACCCGTTCTGACTGCCTGGAGCACCGTGAAGGTCGATGACGACATTTAAACCATACTTTCCAGACCATTCAATCGCCTTCTTCAGATATGGCACTTGTCCCTTGATGAATGGTTCGTCGTCCGCGACGTCAAACGCCCAGTATCCAATCGGTACACGAACGTGGTTCAATCTTGAAAAGAAGGTTGTTGAAATAGGTTAAGTCGAACAAAGCGTGATATGATGAATAATCGACATACCCGGCAGCGGCGATGTCCGCAAAGTCTTTTTCGGTAAAGAATGTGTCCCAGTGTTGCTTAAGAGCATCTTGCGCAGATTGCCTGTCTTGCAACTGCGTGAAGGTCCATTCATCGATAATATCCGGATTTCCCGTGTTATCAAACAGGCTGGGGGTAATCCATGGTTCCAGGAGCAGCCATCCACCTGTTGAGTATATCCCGTCAGTATATATGCACGCTATTGGCCAACAATCTCTAAGCTCACCTATATTAACACCATAAATTTTATCGACACCATAGTTGAAGGGTTTTCCGCGAGCATCGAGAGGAGCACAATGGGATAGAAGTGCGGAGCCAGCAATAAACAAAAGAGTGGAAGAAAGACGAGGCATGTTGGCCTACGGCTTACAAAAATTAGAAAAAACGAAGTCCGCAAGAACGGGGGCGTCAGAAAGACTGGTCTTGCAGCTCTCCATGTGGACTTGCTTCAAATACTCGGCCGAACACAGGGTCATTCAGAAAACCCCAGTAGGGATGAAAACGCGACCTGAAACCGAATTTTGTCGGCCAAGCGAGGATATTCTGTCTTTCTGCCGAGAGGTCAGCGGTAAGCGCTGATCAATGCCGATCACGTATGCAATACTGATCCGGTTTAGTCTTTCGCTTAATGACTTAGACTATTTTATATCTTCGATCTGCTTTGGCCTCCCCACATTGGACTTACAGTGAGAGGATTACGGGTTGATGCCCTCACGGTGCACGTTAAAATAACTTTTACTTCAGAAGGGTTACCTTCACGTTCGGCGAAGCTGATTTTGGTCTTGGTGGGTGCTCCACTCAGCTACATCATCATCGACTGGATCCCGAGCCTGCGGATCATATGAGCGTTGGCTTAGCTCCGGAAATGCGCGAATAGCTAATACAACATGATCGTTCCAAGGGTGCAGACATATACCGCTTGGGGAAGTATTCAATTCACTAACATGCGGCTGTCGGATGTATACGAGCCGAGTAAATCTTACCGCTCTATAGGCCAAGCATCTTCATTACATTCGACTTCTTTGTTCATTCTTCACTTGTGACTTGGATAAAAGACGAATGTTGTTCACAATCGGCTATGCCAAACAGTGATTTCACTCCTCTCACCATGCAACAGCAAACGGGTTTATGATATCTGTCGCTGGTTCCCTCGACCATGAAACGAGTCCCTGATTTCTGCTTGGGAAGGAAAGAGGCAATTGTTTCACGTGTATATGCTTGGGGCAATCATGATGGCATCCACACTGTTTAAGTACAAGTCTGGGCATCAAGAGGCAAGGGTTTTGCTATGCACATTTCAAATATTAACCGTCCGTACTCCATTTGACGCGTTAACATGGGTAGATGTTCCCACCGCTCTCATCATGATGTTTCTTGCAAAGAACGATTACGGTGATGTTAAAAATTCGTTAATAATTGCTCCGCTTATTCAGACGGCGAACTATGTTAATTGTTATCATTAGGGTAATGTGTCTTCCTTCTAATTAATTGAATGAGGCGAATGGCCTTACCTACTCACATTTGACCGAAGAGTGCAGCATTCCCATTTATTAAGACATGGCGGGCAGATATGTCACCGATCCGGCCGACTCACTGCTACAGCTTCCAGTGTTAGCCGGTATCCGTGATAGGGACCGATCTTAGTAGCAATTACCTTGTATAATCAAGGTGGAAAGTCCACTTGATACCTTATACTTACACCCAAATCGCGAGTATAAGTACTGCCGAGCTCACATTCAATCAATATACTTGGTTAGTGAATGAAGAAGTTGGATTCCCTTAAACATCTTTTGTAGTGACAAGCCCGAATGGATATAAACTCGAACCAAACTCACAACTTAGCACCCAAACTGCTGGGTAGCTATCAAGGCAGACTCAGAGAGCTGTGAGAAAGACTTTGTGTTTATGCTTGATAGGATAAATAAGGAGACTACAGAGAGGATTGTCAAAGATAGGAAGGTGTAACTTCTGTGTCATAATTGCTAAGTACTGTGGATAGGGTGAAGTTTGTATGTCTTATAGGGCATATTATTACAGTATACAACAAAAGTATTGCACAGGTGAAAAAATATATATAACTTCCCCAAAACACAATAATATTACACTCTGTAAATTGGTACTTGTAGTCTAGCATTTTATGAATACAACACTCTATAAAGTATTAAATTCCTTTCAAAAATGAGTGAAAGCAGAGAAGAATACAAAAAAGGTCATTTTCAACTTTTTTATAGAGTACATGTACAGTCAACTAAAAATCACTAAAATTAAGTTCTAGATAAGTATATCTCAGCTATACTTTGAATGAAACAAATTGAGTTAGCAGTTG